TAATGTCAAAGGTCTAACACATTTTCCTATAATGGTACTACCTGAAAGACAGGGCAATATCATAGAAAAAACACTGGAGTTTGCCCTATTATCTTCATGTCTTGGCACTGTCATGAAAACTGAGTTCTTGGGCAAAACATTCCACCTCTCTGAGGATTATATTCCTCAAAATAAGGAAGTTAAGGACATATGTGCTCCTCTTCTATCTGTAGCATAACTTAGTAAAATCCACTTTAGAATAACACTAGTTAGAAATGTACATACACAAGGTTCTTTTCTTACTGGTATTAACATTTTTTTTTTCAAAAGTGTTTCTCATATATATTGTTTAAATCAATGCAGAGTGGAATAAATACTTCAGATAATAGAAACCATGTTAATGAAATCTCTTCAACTTACCTATATAGAGAAGTGAAAACCTGAAAGAACCTATAGTATAGTATAGAAAGAACAAAGTAACCTCTTTCCTTGTTGGAAAAGTCTTCAATACATGATCTAGAAATAAATGGATATGACTAATCAAGTGGGTAAATTTAATTTGACAATTGTTAAATGAGTATAATATCCGCTCAATTTGTCTTAAAATCTGGGAGGACTAAAATGTCACATATTACAAAGCCTCACTGTCTTATAAAAATGAACTACACCTTTCCAAGATACAAAGGCAAACTTCACTAATCTCTCCTAAGCAGCAAAAACTAGCAAATTTTAAAGCATATAAAAACACTCTAGAAATAACATGCACAGTGATAAATATTGCAGCATAAAACAAACACTGCTAAAAAAAAAACAAAACTGCTAACTCAAGTTGACAAAGTACTTCAATATTATACAATTCTCAAAAGACATTCTCCTTATAAAATTTATCTAGCAAACACTATTGAATCTGTTATGAGTTGCTAATATCTAATGAGTTCAATACTTGTGTCATATGGTTTGAAACTGTATTTTTATATGATGTTGTTAGTACACGTGATGTGAAAGAATATGTTGTTATCTTGTTTGTGATGGTTAATCTTGACCATCTCAGCAGAGTATTAAGAGACTTCTGGGAGGTGATTGGATTGTAAGAGGATGAGTACTGTCAAAGGTCAACTCACTGATAAATTCATAGTTGAATGGGTTAGCTGGGGGAGGGAACCAAGGGGCTGTGACCTTGGAGACTATAGCTGGCCCTTGGTCCCTTCGTCTTTCTCCTTGCTTCCCAGCTGATATGAAGCAAGCAGCTTTGTTCCACCATACTCTTCCACCATGATGTTTTTGCCTTGAAGTTAGCTGACCATTGATCATGGAATGACACCTCTAAAACACAAGCTAAATTAAACCTTTCCTCTTTTAAACTAAGGGTGTCAGATACTTTGTCACAGTAATGGGAAAGCTGACTAATAGAAGCTATAATGCACTACCATGCACACCCTTCAGAACAGAACATTTTCAAAAGAAAAGAAACATTCAAAATTAAGAACAATCCTGGCTACTATTATAGTGTGTCTCTCTGCTTGCTAATAGTACTATACTCCACCAGGGCTCACTGATGTCCAACCTAACACACTCAACCACCTCTCTTTTGAAGGATGTATCTATCATGTGTTACACCATTTTATTCATATGATCTTATAAAAAAAATCTATGTGCTTTCAGATCAACAATCTCTAGAATCTTACAAAATTTTCTCTTTTACTCAGCTTGGGAGACTTCAGTACTCACATTCTACTCTACATACAAACTTCACCTTCCACTCTGGTTACCTGCACTCTGGTTCATAAAAAAAAAAAAAAAATAAAAAAAATAAAAAAAAAACCCTGCCAAAATAACCTAGAATCTACCTCTAGACCAGTGGTAATGAACCTATGGCATGCATGCTGCAGTAGGTTGTTATCATTGAAAGCTCTAAAATGTTAATCATAGCTCTAGATATTACAATATTCATGTTGCATTTTTACAGACTTCCACCTCTCTGTTAATTTGTTGATATCACAGTTCCTTGTATTTTCTTAATACAGAAGCTTCCACTCATTTAAGGTTTGCTTTCTGCAGTCTGATTTACACAAGGTCAACCACAGTACAAAAAAAAATTACCATATTTCTCCAAAAATAAACTTAACTAGAAAAGTTCAAAATCAAAACTAATATATGAGGGCCGGCCTGATAGCTCAGCAGACTAAAGCGCTGGCTTAGGCAGAGGATAGTGGCTGAGGTTTGATCCCCAGAATGCTGTGCTGGCCCCACCCGCCAGGCAAGCTGAGGCATCCACTCAGACTGGGCATGGTGGTGCACTTGAGAAGCTGAAAACAGGAGAATCACTATGAGTCCAACTATGTCGTGAGACCTTGTAGACCCGGTTCTAAATACAGAAAAAAGAAGTGATCCACAAAGAGAAAACAAAACAATACAAGAAAAGAGCAAGATTATCTTCCATAGAAATTCTCAAGAGTCCGTATTTTTTCCAGTTTTATGATCAAGAACAGTCTAGCAACTGGTTTCAACTAGAAATACTAAGTCTAATGACAAAGTATAAAATACATGTTCAATTACCATGCCATACTAAGGAAATTTGATGCTTTTTTCAGTATCGGGGTAAAACTCAGTGTCTTTGCATTGGGCTATAAAACAGTACTCTTTTAATATTTTGTTTCTGAGAGAAAGACTCAAATCACTAAGTTGCCCAAGCTGGGCTTGAACTTTCCTCCTGCCTCAGATTCCCAAAGTGCTAGGATGACTTGCCTGCCTAAATTTGGATTTATACTAGACACTGCAATATAAGGTTTAACAGAAACCTTCAAAATTCTAAACTCTAACTTCCAGCATAGGGGGAAAAAACTGTCCTATATCACTACATCAGTGTTTATTAAGTAGATACATTAATTAATGAGTGATAAACTTAATATTCAAAGTTTTGATACCTAGAAAATGTGATGTAGTAAGAACTAATTTTTAAGAGGATATGTGTGAAGATGGGTAGTGAACTCAGAAAAGCATTTTCTTCCCTTCAACAGAAAACTCTCGGAACATTTATTAGGTTGAACTTTTAAAATTACCACTATTCAACTTTTTTGTCACACAAAAAGAACAATTTTTATATATTTCTATATAATCCATTACAATTAAACACATCATAGTTAATGACAATACCTCATTTTGTCAGAGCATAAATAACCAGTACACAGTTTAATTTGATTTAAGCTGGATCCATTAAAAAAAAAAATGCCCATACTATGTTACATCAGAATCCATGTTTTGGGGTCAAGGAGCTAGCTCAGTGGAATAATGGCTTGCCTGGCAAGCTAAAGTTCCTGAGTTCAATCCCTGGTACCACAAAAGAGAGAGAGAGAGAGAGCACGAGCAAGCATGTTTTCTGTACTCAAATAATTAAATATTATAATATGTTTCCTTTAAAATATACTTTAAAAACATACTTAGGTTTCAAGAATAATATTACCAATGCTAAAATGCAAGGACTAATAAAATGGGGATGGCTTTAGCTATTTTTGTTCTTTGCAGCATCCTCCGTTCAGCAACGTGCTCAGGATACCTAAGTGAAAAATTAGATGAAGATCATTACTTCAACTGTGTGTTGAGTAAAGTAAAATAACAGTGCAAACTATTCTAAAGAACTTTATATACATTAGAATAACTTTGTAAGAATTCCAAAGCTCATGCTCTTACTCACTTTGCTATCCACTACCATATAGTTTCAAATAATTAAATTTGTTTTAAAAATAAGCTGCCTCTAGGGGAGTATCCTAAACAAGAGTATCTTTAAAAGAGAGAAGGAAGGTTATGATACTATTATTGCTATTCTTTATTTCAAGAAAACATGACTGATATTTCTAAAATAAACAGCAAGACCTTCACAGGTCATACCATACTACAGCTAAACACAAATGAAAAATGATCTTAATTTTGCGATTATCCATTATCCTCAAGGTGTTTCTTATGAGACTTTTATATGACAGCCTATGAATGAAACTCATGTTGTTGAATTTGCCTTCTGTTGAGCTTAAATCACTGAAAAAGTTATTAGGTACTACTTTTTGCTTTGTAACACAACCTGAAATATTTTAGGCTCTATCATGCAATAATGCATATGGCTTAAAGCCTCTGCTCATGCTTAATTGTAACTCAATTCATGTACATTAGAAAGAGAAAAAAGAAGCTAAATCAAAACAGCATCTTTCAATTCTGAAAGCTTATTCTTGATCAGAAGGATTTAAAAATAACTTAAAAGCACTTGACACTGTTATTGCCAATGCTAGCTGGGTTCTTTCTTTTGTTTTTAAGCGAACGCTGTCCTTATGCAGGATAAATTGGTAAAGAGAATGAAAACAGTGAAAGAACTGGGAACAAAGCAAAATACAGAGCCATGGTTACAGCACAAAGATAAACTCAAAGACAAGGAACCGATGCTGGCTCTTCCTAAACAGCCCTTGTGAATAAATCATTAAATCCCTCTGGTAATCTATTGTCCCAGCTCTAAAGCTGGCCAGTGACACTTCCTAAGAGATGCTCTGGCATCTCTCCCACCGAAGATGCAGTACAAATGGAAAACAGTAACCTAGGGAAACTGGCCAAGGAGTGTCAGGAGCTCGCTCAGGGCGGGGTAGTAATACGGGGAAACCGCAAAGACCGGGGGTGGGGGGCCGCGGACAGCACCAGGGAATCCGTGTGCAAGGAAAACAAAATCTGGCCGGAGTCGGCAATCACCCCAAGAAAACCCAGGAGTCCAGGAAGAAAAGGGAGCGGTGGGAATGGTCGTACAGACCCAAGACGGAGGCAGTTTAGGCTCGAGCAGCCTGCAGAAGCCGTCCGAGGCGGAGCCACCGGGGAGCTCTTTGCCCCGCCGTGCCGGGGGCTGTTTGGCCACCGCCGCCCGGGCCTCAGCAGGCAAGGCGGACTGCGCCGCTCCAAACCTGCCCTCGCCTCCCCGGGACCGGCGTCCACCGTCCTTAACGCTTCCAAGTCCGCTGTGGCCGCCAGCCCGCAACCCCTCTCCGCCTCACCTTCCAGCCCCTCCATGGCGCCACCGCCTCGGGCCCCAAGAACCTCCTCAGCAGCTCCCGCCGCCGCCGCCGCCGCCGCCGCCGCCGCCGCCGCCCAGTTCTGGCTGTAGCAACGCGGCCGCGCCTCCCACCCGCTAATATTCGGGCCTCCGATTGGTCCGTACAAAGGGGCGGGGCTTAAGGGGCGGAGCTCCAGGGGGCGGGAACGCGGCGGGGACGCGTCTCTGGCGGTCTCTCCAGCTAGAACTCAGTCAGGCTCGCCGCTGCCCAGTCACCGAGGGAAGCCCGAGCTTGAAAGTGCCTCGGCCAGCCGAGAGCGCCTTTGTTTCCCTCCAACTTCGCTTCCCTCGCCTTACTCTTCTGTGGAGAATATCTCCGCGCCTCATCTGGGCACTCCACCTACTGTCCGTACGGGTATGTCCCCTTACCTGACCCTGTGAGCAGACTCCCAAGCGAAGGAGCAAAGCTGAGCAACATCTCACACCTACCTGCAGCGCGCTCTTGTATTTGCCCCTCCTTGGTCTAGGACTTTTGCCACAGTGTGTCCCCTAGACTTCATGTTCTCAAACAGCCTCATGAGTCAGGACATCATCTTCCTCGAGAAATCACACATTCTGTGTGGAATTCTGGACTGAGGTTGTTCTAGGAATCTAAACCCTTGAAAAGGATTTCCTGAGCCTGAGCTCTTGGGCCAGAAATGGGAAAGGAAGTCTAGTCCTCCTCCCATCTTCCTCTAACTAGTGGCCTACCCTGACCTTTTTACTTTATCATCCTTGGATCAAAATGACTTAATAACTAAAGAGATAACATCAAAGCTGTTTGATCAGAGAGTTTAAATCGGGGGACTAATGAGGCTTGTTTCTGTTGGGGATAAGTTAAAAACTAATTCAAGCCATTTCAATGCTTTTGCTTAACAGTCTTAACACATTTCACCAACACTAAGTTTCCCTGAAGACATGATTAAGTAACTATATTTTTGGTTGCTTCCATTATAGATACTGAAAATGATCAGCATCAATATGGTATCTATAACAATTCTTACATTTTAATTGATTAATTACTATTAATGTGTTCAATTAAAAAGTTTTGATATCATCATTTGTAACACTGTCTACTGTTAAAAGTAGGTATCTTACCAGTAGCCTTTAGGCAGCAAGATTAGTCTTGCTCTCCTCTCAAATAAAGCTATATTTAAATAAGTTATCAAAATTAAGGGATTTGTGTCTTTCATTGGGAAGATGCTCTAAATGTTTTTGAATACAATACTATCCAAATCTTAAAAGGGATCATAAAAAAGAAACTCATGCCTGAATTGCTTCCTTCTCTTTCCCTGTCTGACTTGGGTCTTCTGCTCTTTCTGAGCTTCTGAATCTACCTGACCAGATGACGGGCATGCAGACAATTTACCACCTCTAGATTGAAGTAAATAGTCCTTTTTTCTTCTTAGTACTGCTAGGAGAAAGAAACTTGGGACGGTGGGGATTAAAAGTCATTAAGAAGAATAAAAATTCACACAGGTAAAAATATAAAAATAATGAAACCATTGACAAATTAAGTTCTTTTTTTTAAAATATTTATTTATTTTTATTTA